GCTAAGTGACCAACTCTACCACAAAAATCACAATGATACACATTAGCATGCTTATGATGAACAATGGGTGCATGTGTGTGTACATGTGATGAAGAAGAAGCCTTATGAGATGCACATGGAGTATTAGCAATCTTAGGTTTGTGTGCATCATAGCAAAATTTAGCAAGGTGGCCTTTACGACCGTAAATAGAGCATTTGTAAACTTTGCTATATATGTGTGCATAGTGAGTGGATGATGCCTTAGACTTGGCACACATATCCATAAGCCTCTTATGATTATTAATGCATATTTTTAAAGTTGAATCTAAAGATGAAATACTATTTTTTATAAGATTCAAATCTTCATTTTTAGGCACATATGCATTTTTAGAAGTAGAACATAAATAGTCATTTATAAAGGAAGCGGTATCATTTTGTATGTTCTCTACTTCTAACATGACATTATTTTTGTCATGAGTCAAGTTAGCGATATCCAATTTTAAATTTTTATTTTCCAAATTTAACATATCATTGTTTTCTTGAAGAGCAATACTTTCTTGAGAAATGATATCAAATTTGGAAGCTAACTTCTCATGATCGGATTTTAAATCTTCATGCTTGCTTTTTAAATCAATAAAATCATTTTGTAATTTGTTAAAGGCATGCAATAATTTTTCACTAGCACAAGCAAGTTCATCATTAGGTAAATCATTTATGGTTTCGAACTCGCAAACCTCACTAGGGCTATCGCCTAGTGGCCGTGTGCATGATGCTCCACATGAACTTGAAGCCGGATCCGCCAAGGCTTGTTGGATCGCCTCCAAGTCCCCTTGATGTGCTTCAATTAATTTCCATAAGGTGTAAGCACTATCAACATGAACAAACTTGTTAGACATAGATGAGTTAAAAGCATTTAGCAAATATTCTAACAAAATATTGTTCATTGTAAACATACGATGATCATTCTTATTCCATTTGGATTTCTCCAAAGTGGGCACAATATAAGCATCATCTATAATTTCCCATAAATCAAAGTGTTTAGATTGAACAAAAAGTTTAAATCTAACACACCATTGGGCATAGGGGAAATTATCTAATCTAGGAGCAATATTAATGGCATAACCTAAACCATGCATATCCATAATATAAAAGGCAAGCAAGATACAAATAAAGCTCAAAATTAGATTAGCACAATAAGCTAACTTGGATCTTTAACTCAAGGCGATTAGACCTTAAATCAAAGAGCACCAAGCTCTGATACCAATTGTTAGACCCTAGAGGGGGGGTGATTAGGGTCTTATGCTAATCTAATCCGATTTTATGCCAATTAAAACTAGTTAACAAATATATTCTTGCAAGATAGATATACAAAGAGTTAAGTGCAAGAATATACAATATACACAAGGTGATATATCCTAGCAAAGAGGTATACTATATGATATATGCAAGGATATATAAACTAACACAAGATAATATATCCTACCAAGAAAATATACAATATGATATATGTAAGGATATATAAACTAACACAAGATGATATATCCTATCAAAGAGATATACAATATGATATATGTATAGGATATGTAAACTAACACAAGGGGTAAACAATCTAAACAAGATAGTGGATGATATAAATAATGAGCTAATGACAATGGCGATAAGAAATATAAACACAAGTATAAATAAACGCCAAAGCACACTCAAACACAAGATATGATCACGGAGTTCGGACCTTCCGTCCTACGTCTCCGCTCCCCACTCCCGGGGAGAAATCCACTATCAACCGGGTTTTCTACGTTCACCCGAATAACGTTTACACCTCACAGTATCGGTTTTCAACGCTCACCGATCAACGTCACTCCTCACACTCGGTTTCTAGCTCACCGAAAACCTCACTACACACTCGGTTTCTAGCTCACCGAAAACCTTACAACACTCACAATGTAACAAATATAAATTTGTTCTCTACAATAGATGAGAACACAATGAAAGCACAACTCAAAGTTACAATCTCTCACCACCCAACTATACTATGCAATGAAAGATACAATAAGCTCAATGTGGGTGTGTGTGTAACAATGAGTAAATAAGATCAAATCAACTAAACTCAAGTATGAAATCTAGCTTAAGAACAATGATAATCAATCAAGTATATAAATGTAAAGCTAGAGTTTGAGTTTAGAAAACTTCTCAATTTGATAACAAGAGATGGAGGGATGATAGTTGGAAGCTCAAACTTCAATAGATAATCTCCTCAAGCTCTTGTGGAATTTGATTCACCAAAACAAACTCTCAATTTGCTTAAAAGCTTTTTAAACACACTTAAACCAAACTAAAACCCTTGTTAAAAACTTTATTAAACTTGATTAAAAACTCTCTTGGTTAATTTGAAAAGACATCAGCAATGGGGTATATATACCCACTCAAAGCTCAGCCAAAAACCCCAAAACGAAATGACCAAAAACCCCAGCAAACAGCTCAGAGAAAGAGCCGTTAAAAGACAACGGTCATATTGTCGGTCGACCGAAAATCCCGTCGGTCGACCGATGAGAGCAAAACCACGAAGAAAACTTTCTGGATCATCGTCGGTCGACCGGTGTGGTCGACCGATGGAGTTTTTCGGTCGACCGGACCGGTCGACCGACAGACTCTCTGTCGCCCAGTGAGAATATGAACTCATGTTCGGTCGACCGAAATCTGACATATTCAAAAACTGTTTTGCTGATTTTAAAACCCTGTTTAAAAATATCAAATAAATTCAGAAAAATGTAAAACTTTGGGGAATGATTGTAGACATGATAATACACATGCTACAAAAACTGGTTTTCTAAAAAGACTTCCCAAATGAGAAATACCATCATTTTACAAAATAGTCCAAAACATGAAAATGTAAACATATGAATCTTGACATTTTAGCTTAACCATGTTTTGAAACATTACAAAATGATTTTGTAGACTTAATAAAAGATGTATATGATTATTGTTAAGTCTATAAACCAAGAAAACAATATTTTCACAAATACAATAGAAAGTAAAACGTATGAGTATGTATATGAAAATATATTTGTTTCATATCTATGAAATTAAACCAAAACAACTTATCCACATAGAAAACAAGCATGTATACACATTTTTTGGAATTTATTTGTAAAAACTTTGTTTGTGGATAAAACTAAAAACCAAGATGTATATGTATATAACTATATATATATATACTAAGAAACTAATAAATGTGTGTGTGAATATAATATTGAGCTTAGAGTATATAACACACATAATATAAACCTATACTAAATATACCCAAGCTTGATCTTGATCTTCATTGTAGCTCAACTTGGTACACATGCGGTGAAGCTTGAACTTGATCTTTAACTTTGAATTTGCAAGGCTTCACCGACATTCCGCCAACCTCCTTTGGATATGATCGTTGAAGCGCAATTCCATCCATCCTCCAACAACGTTGTTTGTCTACAAAACATAGGAATACACAAACACTAGACAAACAACATTAGTAGTAAATTGTTTGTAAATCATTATCAAAACAAGAAGGCCAACAGGTGTATGTATATAAACTCTACAAAATGTGTATATATATACTCTACAAAATGATATAAAATGAATATTTGTAAAAAAAGTTCGTCCAAGTAACATGTAATATGAGAAACTGACATTTCCTTTTGGAGCATTGTGGAGTGAAACTTTCATGAAATGGAAGACACTATGAGATCAAGTTTAGATTGAAGAAACATGCAACTTATATAATGTGCATTGTGGCGTACAATGATGAATTACTTTTCTTCAGCTTAGATTTTAATAATTTTGTTGATCTCCATTCAATATAGTAGCAGCAACAGCAGGTAACTGAGCATTCTGGCCATGTAAATAAAAATTAGAAACAAACACATCATCTTTGAAACGAAGCAAATAAAAATTAGCAACAAACATATCATCTTTGAAACGAAGCCAAGGAGATGGCGGCGTTGGGTCACAGCCAAGGAGGCGGGCGCATTCTATC